TATAATGTGTGCATATTTAGAGATCTGCTGTTTTACATTAAGGAAATTCCTCAGCCAGATCAATAACTTCACTCCGTGGTTTACAGTCACTTTTAGAATGGTTATCTTGATACTGTAATAGAGCAAAAATTCTTTAGATGTCAATGAGGATGTTACCAAATGAAGCCTGAGGGTTTATAATACAGTTTATAGGCCCATTGCAAGCAAAGTTTCCTTTGTTTTACTCTTGCTTCCTTCTATGTGAGTGGAGCCAAACATTGTGTTGATGTGATAAATAACATCTGGGACTGGTCTATCTTCCTGGTTCTTCACTAAACTGAGAGTCTCCTGGTTTCCAGTCAATAGCCATTTTGTTAAAGGACAAGGAATAAGAAACCCCATATAAAAAATGTGCTGTTTACAGGCCCGGCTCCAGATACGAGATGTATATGTGTGTGTAGATCTCATGTCTATTGACAGTTTTAATATCATAAATGTATGGCAGTTGTTAGGTTTGTTTGTCTGTCTGTTTGTTTGTTTGTTGTTGTTTTCTTAATTTTGAATATTCTGTTGCATGGGTCCAATATATTGATACACATCCAACGTGAATGGGTCCGATATATTGATATACATCCGATCTTTCTTTCTTTCTTTCTTTGTTTCTTTCTTTCTTTTTCACTTAAGACGTAACTGATGTTCAAGCACGAGAAGACGAGGAAAGAAAATATTAGGCTTGCGCGCTGCCTTAGACACTCTTCACTTGAATGTTCAAATTGGCCAGGTGCATTTGTCCATTAAAGCGCAAGAAGTCACCAAAGAGAATTGAATGCTGGCCCCAGGCCATCGGGCAGTAATTATTGTCGAGCCCTGAATGCTATAATATTTACAACACCAAACACTCGACAAGAAGAATAAAAAGTATGCATCACAATCTACGAAATATTCAAACCACGGTTATGACTGATACCAAGTAGCGAAAAGCATCTCTCCCTCCCTCCAAAAACAGTTTGGGGGTATGATTTCAGAACTGCCTGGTCGGGATTTGCCCTATTCAAATCATTTGGGACAGAATTTCTGTATTTTTTGATTGTAATTGTGTTTTTGACACCATCGGAAGCTGCTGATAAACTTGACTCATTTATTTTTCCAACCTCGCTGCCACAAATGGATGAGGTGGTAGCTGTGTCCTGGTGGGCTGAAGTGTTTTTTTTTTTTTTTTCCTTCCGGAAACTAGAAATCTGTACATATTCTGTGTATAAAAATCAGTAATACAATTCACTGATAGTGGCCCTGGACCCCCCATGGAGTTGGGCCTGGTTGTTTAGCTATTGTATGAAAGTGTTGTCCGTTGTAAAATTATTCCATCTTCCATGATGCTGTAGATTCAGTAGCAAAGTAGTACAGAAACAATATTGACAAAATAAAATGGAACACCATGAAAAAAAATGTGTTCAGTGTAGGGTTGGGTACCGAAACCCGGTACCAATATGGCACCTGTACCTATAGGGCCTTTCGCACCGCAGGAACCTTTTCATAGTACCAGAACTAATTATGGAACTACCCACTTTTTGGCGTTTTCGCACCGCCGGAACTGGGTGCGATTTTAGTACCGGACTGCCTTTTTCGAGAACCAAATTAGCTCCTACTCCGGAGCAGGGTCTAACCGGCACAACTGGTACTAATCGTGACGTAAGTAGACACTGATTGGCCAAACGCGTACGAAAACACCGTCACCCGCCATGATTTAAAACGCCGTGTAAACATACTGTAAACATTGTGTCAACTTATTTCGCAAGTATGGAGAACAGCGATAGATGGACGGACGCTGAAGTGCAGGCACTTGTAGCAAATGTAGCACTGAATACATCGATTAGCAATGGATAATAAATATACTTGATTATTATAAAAATACCAGAGATGGCTTGAATAACACACATAAACTATATTGTTGCAGTCGAGTGTTGTCTTTGTTTTATCATTCAAAATGTTTATATGTTCTGTTTACTCAGTTACAGCTATAATAGCCATGCCTTTGTCCATATAAGGGATTTCCTGGAGGGTCATGAGTTCAGCTACTTCTGTGACTGGATATGTGGATTTTTTGTGCGAGGGCGCCCTCTGGCGTCCAGTATGAATGAAACCGACATCATGTGTTTATAGTGCTATGGCCAATCCATCATTGTTTGGGGAATTTTTATTTATTTATTTATTTTTTAATAAGTATCAGGCACCGTTTAGGCACCGGAACCGTTTTAAAAGTATCGATTTGGCACCGGTATTGAAAAAAACCCAAACGATACCCAACCCTAGTTCGGTGTTTTGTTTTTTTTCAATGTTATTAAAGGTATAGTTCACCCAAAAATGAAAATTTTGTCATTAATTACTCGCTCTCATGTCATTCCAAACCTATAAGACCTTCGTTAATCTCTGGAACACAAATTAAGATATTTTTGATGAAATCTGAGAGCTCTCTGACCCTCCATAGACAGCAAGGGTACTACCACGGTAAAGGCACAGAAATACAGTAAGGACATTGTTAAAATGGTCCATGTGACATCAGTGGTTCAGCCGTAATTTACGAAGCTACAAGAATACTTTTTGTGCACATAGGAAACAAAAATAATGACTTTATTCAACAATTCTTCTCCTCCGAATAACCATTTACCGCCATTATGGAGAGTACCACGATGCATGCGCAAACAAGGCACAGCGCATGCGTGTTCAACGTCAGCAGCTCCACACGCATGAGTTATTTGCGTTCAGAGAAAAGCATGCGCATGCGTCGTGATACTCTTTATAATGGCTATATCCTGTTTCCTGTGGTTCTTGAGGCAGAGTTCATGTGATAAAGCTCTCAGTGTTGGAAAGGCCAGACACTGACTCTCCCCAAAGACTCTTATCAAGTGACATGCGTGTTCTACGTCAGCAGCTCCACACGCATGCGTTATTTGCGTTCAGAGAAAAGCATGCACATGCATCGTGATACTCTTTATAATGGCTATATCCTATGGTTCTTGAGGCAGAGTTCATGTGATAAAGCTCAGTGTTGGAAAGGCCAGACACTGACTCTCCCCAAAGACTCTTATCAAGTGAATGTGGTCCAGTCTTGAAACCTTACACCAGCACTAAAGGACAATACAATGGAAAATCCCTCTTGTTCACATTAAGATTGGAATAGAAAACCATTAATAGACATTGCAGTTTCCTCAGTAATTCTTTTTAAAGTTATTCAATTTTCAGCGCATAGTAGTCGCCTGAATCAAACCAGTGTAGGAACATAAACACAAAATCCAAACATCCTTGCTTTTGAAAGCGCAAGTTTGTAGTTCCATGTAATGACGTGTGTGTGTTACTTGTTCAGAGTGCAATTCTAATTGCTCTGTTTTACATTGCAAAGTCAAGCATGCAGAGAAATGTATCTGTACAAAGCAGTGCCTCCCACTTTGATATCTGACTTTTTGAACTGCTCGAATAGAGGCATTTCCCAGTTTGTGCTCTTGTTTGTTAGTGTGAACTCAAGACGTGCTGGTAATGCTAATTTAGTTTAAACTTATGGAATGTGCGTGTTGAGGAGTTTCTGAGAAGACAGAGAGTGATTCAGAGACTCAATGGGTCTATTGTGGCCTGTCCTTCCCCATCAGCAGTGCTGCTGGCCATCTTATTCTGACTTGTAGTTTTAGAGTTGAACATTTAACTGACCTTTCACATCCCAGTTTTTGGGTTGGGTGATATAACAAAACAATGCAATACAGACTTTTCATATGTGTGTGTGTATATGTATATGCATATGTATATATGCACCCATATAACAATGATAATCAGTTATATTTACCTACATATATTTTTTGATATAAGTTTTGGTCAGTGTTGGATATTTATTTTGCAAGCTCATTTCCCATATCGAGTGAGCGACTCATGCACTGACAGATCACAAAACCCAAAATCTAAAATAGAGAAATTTAAATGCAACACTTTTGACACAAAAGAAAAGTTTAAAGCCATTAATCTTTTAAAACTAAAATCACTTTTTTGTCAGTCAAACCTAAAATATTTGCTCGACGTACCCCCTGAGGGTTAAATGCAGGTAAACATAAAAAATAATAATATTTAAATATTTTATTTTTATTTTTTAATGTTTTATTTTTATAAATACGTTTTTTTTTTTTTTTTTTAGATTTGATTTGGATAAAAGCGTCTGCTAAATGGCTAAATGTAAATGTAACCAGTGTTAATTTAATTGACATAATTTTCACCATAGTTTTTGTCAACAACATTTTTGTCACAAATGTAAATGAGACAATAACTAAATGAAAACTCGTTTTGAATGACAAAAACTGACAAAAATCTACTGACCTTTTCATCAACAATTATGACAAAAATACAGAAAAAGGTTTTTTTTAAATGTCAGCTTTGGCGAGTATTCATGTAAACACAGTCAGTTTTGTCTTAAGTGAATGTAAACACTTGGAAGAATATCAGATGTGTATTATCTGTATGTGTATAGGTCTGTGCATTAGGTCTTAAAGTGAAAGCAGACTAATATACTTGCTTAAAAGTCCCCTGAAATGCTTAGAAACACGCAGCGTTACTCTGTGTTGACGTCATTTTAACTGAAACAGGAAGACAGGGCGGGACAGATCAAGCAGCCCCGTCCCTTTTTAAAACGCCAATAGCGTTCGTTTATATCACCGCTTGGGCTAGAGCCGTTGAGCTCCGTAAAGCCGCATTTGACAGGGTATGCCAGCCACAATCTCATCCATATTGCTATAAAATATAGCATTCTGTGTAGAATTCAAATAGCTCCGATACATTTTGTGGTCTGCGCCGACTCGCGCATGTGATCCGCTCCGTGCTATCGTGTCTCTGGACCGGAGCAGAGTGTGTGTGCGGTGTGGTGGTTAGCGTGACACAGCGCGAAACCAGACTTCTTTTTTTCCTCAATGGAAAGCATATTTACACTGTTTGAATCGTTCCCTGTCCCCTATATAGTGCACTACGTGCCATTCACTGTACAGAAAATACTAATTCTGTGGACAAGTGACCGATTCCAGCTGCAGCTTCAGCGTCTATTTTATAGTGTAGGGGGCTGGCGCTTTGGATTCTAGACAGCATTTGATTGGACAGAAAGTTTGATGAGAAGCGTTTTGGCGGAAGAGAGGAAATAGCAGAGCAAGTGAGCTATCGTGTTCATTGATGCGGAAGCAGTTCAGTTCATAGTGTGCGGGTAAGCTGTGAGATTTGTGAGAGAAAATCGCCAAATGGCTAATAAAAAGTTGACATAAACGTTTGGTCATGCCCAACATTTTTCTAATTTACATTAGATCTCTATCTTTAAGCCCTTTCAAGCCACAAGCTTTTGAAATCTTGATGTCAAAATCCAGCATTTTTCAAAAAAAACCCCTGGCGCCTAAAGGGTTAAGACTAACATATTGATACTAACACCCAAAAAAACTTTAATTTTGATTTCATGGGGACTTTAAGAAACAAGATGCAAATAAAAATTTTAAGCAAAAATGATTAATGAAACAAGTTAATTTTAATTCATTCAGAACAGTTTTGTGAACTCAATCGACTGCTTAATGGAATTAAGGCATGAGGATGAGTAAATGATGGAATTTTAACTTTGAATGAACTTTGTTGAGTCTCCTTTAATGTCTCAGACAGTTATGTTGGGATAGAGAACTAAAAACTTGGACAGTCATTTAATTGCTAAAATATGATATGTCATTTTTTATGTCATGTTTTGCCCTTTGTGTGGCTACAGCTGCAGTTATCATAACAATATTTCTAATTTTTATCTTTTAAACTCAGTGGACCATTCAAAACATTTCTGACCACATTCTTGTATAAATCTAGATAAGGCGGGTGAAAAAAGCTGATACACAATACCGATGGGAGTTAGAGGGATGGCAGTTTAGTTCAGTCCCACACCTTGTTTGCTTTGCACAGGAGAAACTGTCAAGTAACTTAAAACCACCTCAGTTAACAAAGGCTGTCTGAATTCAATAGATGGGTTAAAGAAATCATCTGATCTACAGGCTTGCATTGTTATCAGGTTCCTTTTTACAGAAAGTTTCAGTTTGAATATTAGGAAAGTGTGATGTGTTTGCCATACTCAAATGAGTACCTATCATCGTTTTTAAAATAAAATCAGCAGTAGTTATAGCAACTGTTTGCAAACACATGGTATGAGTAAGTTCCGATGAAACTTAACGTATTCACTGCTGATAGTGTATTTTTATAAGTAACCAAGCAACTGGATTACAGAGTGAAACAACTTCCTAAACTTATGTGTGGTCTTTTCTTCTTTAATTATCATCATTAAATGAATAAATTGGAGGGGTTACTTATAGGAAAAGCAGTCAAGAAGTGTGAACTCCTTCAATACTGTTCAAAAAGCATTCCTGTATGTACCATGGTTGAAAGAATAATTTATAACAGTAGATATTTTTTAAGGTTTTATAGCCTGATTACAAAATGAGCCAAGAAAGAGATGTCAAAAAATCTTTTTTTGACCGCCAGTCAGTTTCTCGCACTTTGGAAATGGAGGGTGAAGTTGGAACACATTGTATTGTGGGATACAATATTTGACAGTGTGCTGTGTTGTATATGGTAAAATGAGGCCAAAGTTGCATCTGGTTTATTTTATTTTTTTCTAAAACCACTGAATGACACAGAAACTCACCACAGCACTTTTGTAAACATCCATAGTTCACTAAAAACCTGGAAGTTTGTGTGAAATTTGACACGATTGTGGACAGCAACCAAAAGTCAGGTGATCATCTAAAGTCAAGTGATAATCGCTAAAATTACAGAGGTCTTGTTAATGATTTTTGGTTCTTCATTTTATTTTTTCGAATTGTTGGGTTTAAAGACACAATAATGGACTTAATGATAAATAGCTGGCTGACTTTTTTTATTTGTTATCATTAATGTATACAGTTGAGGCAAAAATTTAAATGTAGTAATTTACCCTCATGTTGTTCCAAACCCATAAGACTTAAGACCCTTAGTTAATCTTCAAAAGCCAAATTAAGATCTGTTTAATGAAACCTGAAAAGTTTTTCCATTGAAAGTCCAAGTAACCAAAACTTAAAAGGTCATAAAGGCATCGTAAAATGAATCCATATGAATCAAGCGCTTTAATCCTAGTCCTGTGAAGAGATACAATCACTTTATATGATGAAAATATGACATCAGCAGTTTTGTATTTAATAATTCTAGAGGTCAAAAAAAGTGTCCATGATAAAGAAAAGGAAAAATCTTTTTAAAAATCTGTCAAGTTTTTATAATTCTACTCTTTGTATTAATGTTGGTTTCATATGGTTTTGACCAAAAAAATTATAATAATTAAGAAAAGTTTAAAGGGATAGTTCTCCCAAAAATGAAAATTCTGACATTACTCACCTTGATGTTGTTCCAAACCCGTAAGACCTTTGTTCATCTTCTGAAAACAAATTAAGATATTTTTGATGAAATCCAACAGCTTTCTGACCCTCCATAGACATCAAGGATCCTACCACATTCAAGGCCCAGAAAGGTACCAAGAACATTGACAAAATAGTTCATGTGACATAAGTGGTTCAACCGAGAATACATTTTGTGTGCAAAAAAAAAAAACTAAAATAACTTTATTGAATAATTCTTCTCCTCCGTGTCACCCTAGTGCCATTTTGGAGAGTACCATAATGCATGCACATGCTTTGATTGGCACGTAAACAATGCATGCGCATGGTGCTGCTGAAGTGGAACACGCATGCGCTGCGCCTTGTTTACGTTCAGAGGAAAGCACGCGTATGTGTCGTGGTACTTTCCAAAATGGCGCTAGGGTGACGCGGAGGAGAAGAATTGAAAATGTCAAAATAACTGAAAATGTCAGAAACTCTCAAGTGGTCGACTTCACATTGCTTTCATATGTAATTTTTAAATACTACATTCCAATTTACGATCATTCTGGTAGCACGTGATGGCAGCATCAGTGAAAATAGTCAGAGACAATGGTAGCTTTAGCAACATTAGCCTTAAATAGTGCCAAGAACCTCTTTATAGGAAGGCAATTTGGAAAACAAAATATGACGCGCTTACTTTGTCTGGGGCTGACGTTCGCGAACAAAGCATTGGTATTGATTAGGGATGTAACGATATTATCAATATCGCGATAGCAGAACTGTCTCGATATGATCGTGGTCACATGACGATATGAAACGATAGGCCTTCTGGGCAAAAAGTGTAGTTTTTAAAATATATTTGTTTTAAGCCATTATGCTTTGTCACAGTATCTGTCAAACAAACTAAAACTGAAAGCACAATATGTCTTAATCCCTTCATCAAGTCTGTTTTTGCGTGTTTTAAAGCGACTCGCACACATTGTTCAGGCGATCAGCTCGTGATCCGGTGTTTTCCATTCCTCAGAACGGCTCTGTTCACAGTGAATGAATGCAGTGAACTTGGTTATTGCAAATGTTGTGAGTTTAGTGCGCGTTTGGGAACGCAACAGCCGCCAAGTAGGCTTTATCTTTGCTGCAGATTTTTATAGAATTTCATTAGATTTGAAGTGAGATGCGTTTTTGTAAGCCTGTTTTCACTGAAGCTGGAGTTTCCCTTCAAAATAAAAGCTCTTCTGCTGTTTCCATCAAAATAAAAGCTTAAATTGCTGTATGAATTACTGACAGCTAGCGGTTTAAATGGGTAACGTTACTGCAGTCCAAATTCAAAATATCTCTTTCAAGTGTAGAAATTAGGAAAGAAGTATTGTAATTTCCCTAATTTAGTGTAAAGCAAAAAAATATATACCTATGAAATATTCATTTTCATTTATTTTACAGTGCAATTGTTTTACAATATATGGCAACTACTGTAATTGTTGTTGTTGTTATTATTATTATAATTATATTCTAATTTGTTTGGCTTCCTAAAACACCAGTGTGAATGTAATTTAGACTGAGACAGTATATCACAAATAACAGTAATGGTGGACTGCTGCTTCTCGGGGCTGTGTTTATGCTTAATAGGGCAGAGAGCGTCACAAATGGGCGGGATTTCTCCCTACGATGACGTCAAGGTAGGGAGAAATCTGGAATCGCTTGTTCTGAGAGACCGTTTATGATTTATTGGGATTATAAAAAAATGAGTGGGTGGATTTTTACCATTATAGGCTAGGGCTGTGAAAATAATCGAATGCGATTTTCATGCGCATCTCATCAGTAAAACCGGTTCTGTGATTAGTAGTAAATCTCCAGTACGTGCTTTCAGATGGAGCGGCATTTACTACACAGAGCCGTAGTTCACCGACAAGCTACGCAATATCACGTTCAAAATCCTCTCCATCTGAAAGCACGTGCTGGAGATTTTACTACTAATCACAGAACTGGCTTTACTGACAAGATGCGCATGAAAATCGCATTCGATTATTTGCACAGCCCTATTATAGGCTGGTTGTTTTCACATGCTGCGGCCACGCAACTGTGTTCAAACACCTTATAAAAGTGATTTTTGCATAATAGGTCCCCTTTAAATAACATGTGGTTTAAATATCAAGCACAATAAGTAATAACATATTTTTCTGACACTCTGTATACATGAATGCACACATCATTATTCAAAAGTGTTTTTAAATATTTCCCATTCTTTCCCCAGCAAAGCAAATACAATTAACATTAATATTAATATGATTACAGAATTGTTATCAGATATGTATGCCATCAATCCTGGAAAATATGTTTTTAGGTAAAAGGTCCTTTTAAATATGTTTTAAGGTTAAAAGTCACACTTGCATCAGAAAGATATGAAAATGAATACTATTATTCATAAATATAAACATGCTCATCATAGAAGCTGTGTTTTCAAGTCATTTTATGTATTTAATTCAACTAAAAATTCTAAGTTCATCATACATGAACCTCTTTTTGTTTTGTTGTTTGAACACTGTATATGATTACCTAGATTATTGTTTTGCATATAGTTAGATCACAGTTATAATCATTGAACAGCTGAGCGGTTCTGTTCTGGAAAAAGTAATGCCTAGAGTTAAAGTACAGCTTTACTCATGACAAGTTAATGTTCCAAAGAAGCACATGAGATTACATGACTTTGAGCAGGTGACTGACTCTAATGATGATGGTTGTTATGGACTTCATATGTGAACACATTTTCTGTTCTCTCACATCTTTATTTAGCTGCGGAAGAGTTTTCCTCTCTAGTTACCCATTTATATATATGGCAGTTTCTCAAGTTTGTGCTGTCAGAACTACAGTGCAATTTCTAAACTATAAATTCAAACCTAAAAAACTTTTTTTGATGTTATCATTTGTATTGACAACTGAAATTTGGTTTGTGGTTTGGTTTGTACTTTTAGTTCATTATCCTTGGGTTTGACCACAGATTGTTTGCTTGTTTAAATGGATTACTCATTCTCAGTTTTAGAAGTAGTATCTGAAGGCCCTAAAACCTCCTCCCACAGTCCTAGACTATAGTTTGTCCTTGTTTCTCAGAGGTTGCATAGCACTTAATGTAACCCGCATGGCATCTGCAGATGCAGACTAAATCAGACTAAATCAGTCTTGTGCACTTTATTAAGTCATTAGTCAATGTTTACATCTGTTGTTTGATGTTAAAGGTCACATTCTCAGCCTGGTTATCTTCACTTCTTTTTTTTCTTTCTTTTTTTACCCCTCTGTGTAAGGAGGAAAGGCTTCTGTACATGTGTCATTCAAAACAGCATATGCATTAAATGAGAAAACCACCCTGAATACTTTCCGTTTTATGTCATTAATCTGCTAGTAAAAATATGTATTATTTTGCAGCTTATTAAACGTATTGGTTATATTATTTTGTGATAATAAAAGGTGCCTGTCCATTTATCCTATGTTTATTGCATGACTAATACTTGCCAAATAATAAAAAAGTCTAAAAATAATAATAGAAATTATAATAAATCTGAATAATACAAATCTAGAAAAAAGGTTTATAAAATGTATTATTATTAATTTGCAGCCAATTTAATATGTTGACTTACTATGCAATACACCCACAGATTTTCCTTTGCAGCTATTATCTGTGCAATGTGCATTAAAATTGAAGCAATATGACATCCTTGAACATGGAAAGCAATATAAATTACAAAGAAATTCTTAACTGAGCCAAGTTTAATAACATTTTTCAAGAAACATAAATATACCCGCTCTGCACTTTTGCACTTTTTTTTACCAGTAAAATGAGCTAATAAGTGCTTAGAAAGCCTAGGCCTGAAACAATTTGTCGACATTATCAACAATGCCAACAATAAAAAATTGTTGACAACTATTTCTGTTGTCAAATAGTTGCACTTATGAGACGTGCAAACGAAACTGAATCAGTAAATGTATATTGCAAAACAAACACACAATAAAAATGACAACATGAGAAAACAGAAGTTAAGAAAGCATCTGATCGTATCGATGTGGAGGTTTGCATAAACGTCACGATTACACTTTATGCAATATATTGCTTTAAAGCACACAGCTTTACAATATTAAGTGTCATCAGTGTCACAAGTTATTATAACTTATTTTTCTGCTCTACATGTATATGAATATGTATAGAACATGTGTAACTCAATATTTTAATGAATTGCAAAAGCTGAATAATAAGCCTACTGATCAATCTGCCAAAATTATCGACAGTTTGTCAATTAATCATTCTAACAATCATTAGATTAATTGATTATCAAAATAATTATAATCCCCTATAGCAGCTGACGTACCCCTCATGTTTCCATATTTAGTTGCTAAACTGTTATTTCTTTTGTAAACAAAGTTTGTACTCAATTCTTGTCCCTCTATCCACATAAAAGAGCAACTTTAACGTGCATTTTTTTTAACCACCACTAGTGGTATCCTGCAACTAGGGTTGTAACGATATACCGGTATCACGGTTTGAACGTGCACGGTTATCATACGTAAACATTTGCATATCTACGTTTTTTTTTTTTAAATGAATGAAAACAAATCTCACCCGCGCACATGTAACTTATTTCCATTCGGCTGCTTTACTCTGCATTCACTTGACTGCTTACACACACGTGCAGCGGAGAAAATGACATCCCCGCCGAAACAAAGTTAATATCTGCAGTATGGGAATACTTCGGATATTTAAAAAAAACGAACGCGGGGTTCAATGAGGATGTCACGTAAATCGCGCAATCGGTTGGATGGATAAGTCAAAAGTAGTTATGATATGTGTCTGGGAATATTAAAGTGCAAAGAGACTGCTATATAAATAATCTGCTTGTTTCTGCATGTCTCTGAGTGGCGCCGTTTTATCTACTGCATACTGAAGTACGCGCGGGGTTGTCCTTGAGTACGGATCCAATTTGCAAAAAATGTGGACGTAAAGTGGGTGCAAAAGCAGGCAATACATCCAACATCTTCACTCATATTCGCGGACACCACCCCTCCGTGCAGATGAAGGTGTGTCGCATTAATAAGAAGTTATAAGTTAAGGCCGTATGATTTCCGTGAAGCAGAGGGAATCCCGGTGCAGTCGCATGCTGTAACTGTAGGGCTAATACAATAAGTCCCCTATGAACAGAATGTGAATAGTTA